TTCTGAAAAACTGCCTAAACCAATCAGGAAAAAAAGTAACGAGATGAATATTCCTTGCATTGTAAAACTGTACAATGCTTGTCCAATTAAACGGAATAAGGTACTTAAGGAAGAACAGTCTCACTTAAGAAATTTAAAGAAGGACACAGTGTTCATGAACGGAATTGGGGGGATATCTGTAATTAGTTTTATTCCATGTAAAATAACTCTGTTCCCTGCCTCCCTCTCTGTCTTTTTGTGCAAGCCCTGCTCATGCGGATCATTCTCATTCCTGCACTCCCCCCAGTGTTGACAGCAGACGGTTCCAGTGAAACAATTTGACACCGTGTTCCTGTTCTTATTATTACAGCACTAACCCACTTTGTGAGCCGCACTGTGGCTCATTCTCTCCTTAATAACACAGGTACCCAGGAGTGGCAGAGCAGCTAATGAGCGTCTTTTTTTTCTCTTCTTTTTTTTTCCCACTCTACTCTTTCTGTTCCACTTTCCTGCTTCTGCATCCCAGAGAAGCCACAAGCTCACCCCACCCCCCCTTCCTTCCCTCCACCGGGGGGAAAAAGAAAATCAATAGTCAATTCCATTTCGCAGGCCAAGTGTGACAGGTACTAGATGAAAGTGGATTGGATGCTTGTAAGAAGCAGGACCGTGCAGCTGAGGTTGTCTTTTTCTCAGGCAGCTATCAAATGCATTGAGCCAAGTCTTGCTGTTTTTCCTGATTTGCGAAGGAGGCATTTAGACAAACAGATATAAATATATGGTACAGAGCCCTTGCGGATGTAAGCAAGGGGAAAAAAATAACAAGGCTGCAGATGATGAATGTAAGAACTTGCCCTGAACAAGAAACAATATGCCCTTGTTAGCTGAACTTCTGGACCTGTGTGAACTTTGTTAATCACGTACACTGGAGACAGAATTGATTAACAGCAGCCCTCTAACACACTGGTTCCAATCTATACGAGCTCCTTCTGATGCGTAAACCCTGCCTGCGTTTGCCATCTGCCCCCATAAAACCATATCTCTTACTCGCAGGAGGGCAGAATACCAATTGGAATGATTCCTCTCACTGGGGTTAAATCTCAATTTGTGTAATAAGAACATAAGAAAGTTGCCATCTGGCCAATCTGGTTCATGTGGTTGATGTTAGTTTATGGTCATCAAAGATCTAGATCTTGTCAAATTGCATATCGAAGGATCTGTTTCAAACAACATGGTGGGGCAGTTTGTGCCTTACTGCCACAGCCCATTGTGTAGAGATGCTCTGTGTGTTCATCTCTAAATGCTCATCACCCTAGTACCTGTTTTTACCCGTTTTGAACCAGTCCTGAAGAAATTATGTAGCATGCAGGTTGGCATTGGAATTGTCATATTTTAGGGGTGTCAAATTGAAACTCAGTGCAATATTAAAGCCTGTGTCAACTATCCTTCATAGAAGCCTAACCACAGACAATATGAAAGACATTGTGAATCCAATGTGCAATCGGACTTAACAGGCTGCAGAGTTTATAAGTACTGTACATTGCACAGGCTGTGTATGCATCTGTACATACTATACTGTATATATCTTAAAAGTCAAGGCTTTATAGTATGATTATTCTATTTTTTCCTTAATTGTTCTTAATGGATGAATGCAATATAAACATGAAAAGATATTTAATATTTAATGAATTGATATAATTAAATAATAATGTTACTCTGTCGACAAAATATGGTATCAATATTTATATCTAACATTATATCATAATGTGTAAAACAATGAATGAATAGACTTGTCTTTTACAGCGCTAAAGTAAAATGTAAAAAATATTACAATTTATACCATACGTACTTGCGTATTTGAGCAATGATTGTAAATACTGTATTTAATTCTTCATTTACAGGTCAGAACTAATTAATCACCTATTAAATGTTTACAAACATTAATACACTTTGCAATAAAATAATTGTTTAGAAAGAACCAACACAGTGCCATTGTAAGAATGAGTGATTTTCATCATGATACAGTGAATGTGCTTCAAAACAGCCCAGGATAGGTGATCACACATATGGTTCATCTTCAGTTGGAATTTTTCAGCTCTAAATCAATACTTTGTGATTGATCTAAGGAACGTGAGCAGCTAAATAAGTCTGGCAGACTCTGTAAACAGTCACTCCTGCAGGAGTGCATATCATATAGATTTTGTTGTTGTTGTACATAAACAATTATGCTTTTGATTTAAACTCTTTGAGCCACAGTTATGATTCATATCAAGACATAAAAAGGTAAAAAATACTAGTTAAAACATCCTGCTTCCCCTATATTAGCCAACCCGTTCATGTAGATAGAAAATAAATATTAAAAAATATGATTTAACAAGATTGAACATTTTATTATATCAATACCTGAATCCAAACCTAGGTATTCTTATGGGAAATTTCATAACTCATTATATTTGAGGGAAAAAATATTTTTATTGTACATAACAATTATAATTACCGTTTTCCTTTTTTATGTTTTGCTTTTCAGTTTTTAATGTTATAAGAGTTTACATTTTGCATTATCTTTGTGTTTTTATCTGTGTGTAAATGCATTTCTAGAACTAATAAGATATTGAAAAGACTATAGAATCCCATCTGTATTGTTGATCATTTTCATTCTATGAAGATGATATCCAAAGAACATTTGTAATGGAATTACACATTTCTAATCTATTTGTCCACTACTTACACAGAAATCACTCCACTCATCAGAAGCAAACTTCATTATGAAAATAGAACATTTCAAATAATTCTAAATGCTTAAAATTATTGTACAGTTATTTCCAATTGCTTCTAACTTGGCCTGAAGTATTGGTCTGAAAATTATCTGTCACAGCTTTGGATTTAAGTTATTTATTGCAAGTTGAAGTAAAAGTACATTAGAAATATCTTGCTTGAGACACAAGACAACATTCATATTCAGAGAGGGGTGTCAAATACAGTGCACACATTCATTGTTGTTTTAAAAGCTGCAAAAAAAATCATTTGATCATTTTTTGATCAAGTTATCTCTATCAGCCAAGTACCAAATTTAATTCCTCTAAAATCCAGATTCATTTCCTGTAGTAATATTGTATTTGTGTTTTTGTGAACTGTCAAAGAGAAGAACCATGATCTGCTCGAATGAAAGCAAAGAACAAGAAATCGTTTTGTGCTCTTGCTCGCCATCCTGTGGTAATGCCGGGACAGTGCATGTTTTTTAAAAAATAATCTGATAAAATGTTTCTCTTCGAAACTCCATGCAGGGCATACATTATTAGCTGAGCTGACAAGTTCCAAAAACCCAGATCTGGTGTGTTACAATCCTTATGAAAAAAAATGTATAATTATTTCACAATCCCATACACATAGACTACGGAGATAGAGTATAAATCATCAGCTTTGGTTAGGCTGCAAAAAAATAGTGGGAGATACATTTAAAGCACTGAATTCCAACCCTGGTCCTAAGGGACCACTGTGTGTCTGTTGCTATTCCAGCTCAGCTCTAAATCTCCAACGTTGATTAATACCTTTAATTAATCTGCTTTCTTGATGGGTCTTTTGATGAGCCTGTTTCTGCACTCAGTCTTATGTTCAAGACTATTCAGTTTAAAGGTATTTGTGGCGTGACCTGTAACCACGTCATATCAGCCTGCTTCTTCTTATTTCTGACTAAATGGCCCTTAATCACTGATCACTTTGTGTTGAACAAAGGTGAGAATACCAGTTAATCAGACTCCTGTAGTTATGGTTTCTCTCCTGCAAAGTCCAGTTGGTTACATTGTAGTTAAAACGCCGGAATTAGAGTAGTTCTGAAACTCTGAAATTTGATATCAATTCTAGATCCCATTTGACCCTTTGAGAACTGAAAGGAAATTTTACAATACGCCCTGTCTCAAAATCTGGTTCAAAACCCAAAAGAGACAGTGGTCCTAGTCCTGGTACTGGAGCAGTCCGTCCCTGGGGAACATTTTTTTTGTTCTGGCTGAGCTCTTCATTATGTAAGCATATTGAACCTGTAATAGAAGTTTTTGTGTTTTCAAAATCAGCTCCAGCTCTTAAACACCAAGAAGTCAGAAACAAATATTTCCCTGCCAGAAGCTGGGTTTCAGAATGTTCTTTATTTACAGTAGGGTTTGTTGTTTCAAGCGGAGACTTGACACAACGGGACTGCACAGGGGGAAGAATGCTTGATGTGAACTGACAGTGTCATTCTTAACGGTACATGTGCTACTGTACATTGCTACAAGTCATGAGCAATCTGCATTGTTCAATCAAGCTCTGCTTGCAACGTTTCTAGGAAATAATACATATAAAGTAGATTACTTTCAAAATTGAGACCCTAGTGGAGATAACACACTTTAAACAGCAGATTCAATTAAGTGTTCAATAAGCTTCATTAATCAAGAGCTCAGTTGTAAAAAAACCCAGAGTCACAGGGGATGTTGTTTGGGAAACATTGTTCTAAAGGCTGGAGAAAACAACACAATAGAGGTTGTGATTGTTTAACTTAAAAGCCATGCTCCACAGATCACTTGTTCTTGAAAATAATGTTCTGGGTGCCGGGTGCTCTGCACCTGTACACCAACACTTGAATGAACATCAGGTCCTGTCTAGGTGCTTTTTTTACAGGTATGCATAATTCAGTACTTACAAACAGGTACATTATTTATATGTAATCTAGTTCTTTTAATTCGGTATACAGGGCCGAGGGGTGAAATACCAGCTGTATTCACACTGCTGCGCCTTAAGCAGACGGGGATATTCATCAAATATTTATGTTTAGTACATTTGCTGTGTGCTTATCCCGCTGAAAAACGTTCATCCAAAAAGGAAAGTACCCGTGGTAGGAAAAAAAAAGTTATTGAATATTTTTAAGACGATGTTTGTTAACATGTAATGTTCTATTTGTTTGCACATATTCACTGATTTGGAAACCGAGTTGAAACAGTGTGTCTTTTTACAGGAAGCTGATGCAAATTAGATAACGACCGCACGTTGTTCGGAGCTGGTGCCAAATGCCGAGAGTGAAACAGTTAAGCTTCTCCAACAGACTGCCGCTCATCGCTGTGCGTCTGGTGCTCTCTCGCGTAATACTCGAGAGTGAACACCCCAGAGTCTGATCGCGTAGACTCGGGACTTTCTGCTGTTCAAAAGAGATCGTCGTTACTTTTTAATTAGTTGAAGAGAGGCTTTACAAAATCATCTGAGAGCTGAGGGAATTGCTGAAGAAACGGTAAAAGTGTAGAGATTTACGCCTGTGTTGTGTTACATATGGTAAGCAGCAAGTTTTTTTTTTACTTGTTTTCTTGATTTCTTGATGTGTGATATATAGTTCTTGATTTTATTTGTCAGTTTAACCGAAGGGTAGAGGAACCCGGGATACAACATGTTCTCGGTTGTCAAGTAGAAGGTGTATTTGAGAAATACTGATGTCCTACACGTGTTTTGGGTTGCATTGTTGTCATGGTGTTTTGTAATTTATAGTAACACCTGCTGAGAACGTGGGAAGACATTATCGGACTGTTTTGTGATTTCTTTATGTAAGTTTTTAGACTTTTTTTTTTTGGTTATACCTTTACTAAAAGCATCATCAAAGAAGACCGCCAAGCTAACTCTTCGGGAAACGCATTGATATAATTCTGAGTAATGGTCTTTTTAACCACATAAACTTCTCGTCGCCGTTTCAAAAATAACCTGGTTGTCTACGAACGCCAAAAATAATGACAAATTCAAAAGTCATGTGAAGTCGATAGCAACGAACTGAAAGCGGCGCACTAACTTGCGATCAGAAAAGAAAAAAACCTTACTGGCGTTAGCCACAATTTGGGAGTTAGTACGCGGCTCTGAAATAAAATCCGCAAATCCGTTGCAATGGACCATTGGTGTCGCTCAGTGTAATTATATAGAGTATTTAATATTTTTTTTAATATTAAATATTAACAAATCTTAAATGAATGTTAACAGCTGCGACAAGTATTTTGCATTTAACTGAGCCTAAGAATGTGGTGTCTTTCTGCGCTGAAGCTTTTACTGTGAACCCACAAACTGCAGCAGTGTATCTGCTCCATGTAGTCCACACCAGTCCCAGAGGCCAGCCCTCCTACGGATTGGTTGTAGTTCCAGCGTAGCTAACTCTTAATGGAAGAAGCTCTTTGTTTGCACCATTTACAGCAATCCAATTAAGTCAGTGAAGTGTTTGATTATTTAATTGATTACTCAGGTGAAACTCAAGCCAGTAGATACAGTATGTGGGGCTCCAGTACCAAGGCCAGGACCACTTGCTCTAGTAGTGTAGACAAGACCTATCCTTGCCACTCAAATAAATAACTGAAAAACTAGTAGTTCTGGAAATAGGTTTTATTTAAAATCTTTATATGGTGATTGAAGGTTGCCTTTTAGCTCCTGCGTTTCATGCGATACTTTAGATCTCCAATCTTTTGTGTTAAAAAAACTCTCCCGATTCCAACCAAGCAGCATGTTGGATCAGTTTTTAGCTGTTGTGAAAATCAGCACATGTGTGAATCCCCAAGATCAGGATTGGGGACCCTGTGCCCTAGACTGGCTCCACCTCCTCGGTAATTTTATACAGTTGCCTGCTTGTAACCCAAATATTAACTGCCTCTGCAGCTTAATACTAATTTGAACATTGAAAGTTTCGCAAATAAGCATGTTGAGCTGTTTACAGTCTGACGTTCACTGTGCAGCCAGGGTTCCCTGCTCAAGAATGAGCCTGAAATGATTTTTTGCCTTGAAATGTCAGTAGCCTTTCCAGTCAAGATATGAAGCACAGCACTTGCAAAATGTCGAGGCAGCGCCAGCCTCCTCACACTGGTGGTGATGAAATGGGTTTGCACCAAACAAGATAGACTGGATAGACGTTTTTAAAAGTTGAAGCTTTTAAAAAAGAAATTTCCGGGACTCCAGTACCCCTGAGTCTTATGACAGAACTACTCCTGCTTTGAAAATGTTTTCTATTTCTCTTTTAAAATCTGTAAACAGAACTCTTTTCTACTGGGCACCGATATCTGAATTTACTAGAAGTTTAGATTGTTAAAGCCGATTTTTTTAATCTCATCAGAAAAGGCTTTGTGTGTGGCGTTTCCTTCCTCTTTTCTGAAATCTTTAGAGTGTCAGTGACAGCGGTCTTAGCGCATTTCCTCATACTCTGCTTGTTCACATTCGATAGAATAATTTTCAGTGATAGCTCTGTGTGGGATGCAAAGGGTTGTAGTCGTGTACAGTATAAAGATATAAAAAAAATTCAGAAACAGACTGATTCAAAACCAAGAAAGAAATAGTCATTTTATCTTCTTAAAGAGTCTAGCACTATTTTCCTGTACTTCTTCATTTTAAATTTGGTCAATGAACAATTGAATCAATTATTGTTATTAACATTCAGAATAGGGACTCTGATTTCAAAAGTCCTGTTTCTTATCTGCCTTGTTTATATAATTATCTATGTGGTTAATATTATTATTCACTGTGGAATTCCAGGAAACACTTCTATTTCTTTTTCTAATTTCCGTTCTTTATCAGTTCATGCTGTAAGTGAACTCGGGTCAACTCGAGTACAGTGCATACAAGAGCCATGGCTGAAAAGAGGGGTAAAACTGCCCCTCTTGATTTTGTTTTTAATCTGGGTTCACTCCCTCACTGCCAATGCATTTAGGATGATCTATGTGGCGCTTAATAAGAAAAGACGGCACAAAGTGTTTGACGAAGAAACTTAGGTGTTTTTTTTCAGGGTAGATATTCAGTCGACATATATGAACAATGGAACAGGTGACAGGATTATTAAAGAATAGAAAGTAAACGCAACGTTTTGGCCGTGGAGCCTTCTTCAGGTGTGAGCATATATGAACAATGTTCTTTGGAACTGGGTAGGGATGTAATATAGACTATGTAGTTGGTCTCTAGGATATAGCTGGGCACGGATGTAAAATACAGTATGGAACTGGGCAGGCATGTAATATAGAGTATGGAACTTGGTGGGGATGTAACCGTGCAGTCATGTATTATTGAGTTCACAATAATTGAGCACTGCAAATATCTAGAAATGTAATAACATTGCTTAAAAAGGTTCCTTTATTTTTAATCACTTGCCACCATATTTCATTATGAAAGGTTATAAATCCCAAAAGTAAGAAGTAGGGTAGTGTGGGAGAACTGCTTTGTCACGGTGTTCCAGCAAGAACATATTGCCACACGGAGGATGTGTTGTAATTTTTTACCATAAAAGCCAAACGCAAACACATGTATGTGTATTTCTGCAGGTTTTTTTTTCTGGGGGGGGAGATTAAGGTCATAATTTACTTGTCTTGAGTGGTCAAGCCATCGTATGTCTTGCAATCCAAGGTGATGCAGTGCCGTCTGGATCATTGTGTTAGCTTCCCCATCAGAAACCTACAAACAAAAGGTGACTTACCATAATCGAACCCTAATTAACTTCAGCATCATGAGCACGTCGTCTGTTCTGGGACAGTCAGGGTCCTGGCTAGGTCTAGGAGTTAGTCTTGTGGATTGAAATTAATTCATGGAGACTTTCTGTTTACTAACTCAGCTGAAAGCCAGCATCAAGTGTTGCCTTTGTCTTGTGTGTTGAGCATGTGTGTCAATGGTATCATTTAATCCTGGTATTGGTTTATATAGAAAGGATCCACAGTCCTATGGTCTAGAACAGAAGAAAAGACCAAAAGGTCGTTCTGGTTGTGTTAAGCGTAATCTCTGTACTTTTACAGTGGAAGATTTAAAAATGTTTATTAATGCCAGTAAAAGACAGGTGGTGACTGTCGGTCCTCACCGTAAATTAAGTCACTTTGGTCTTTCTTTTCTGTTTAAACATCTTAATACTTCCTGTGTTTTGGCTCCCTGGAGATTTCTATTCATCTTCTCTTCTACATATCCTGAAATGGTATATAACAGATCTAATCACCCATTATTTTTAGTTTGAGCTCTTTTCCCACACTAGTTTGTGTGGAAAAAGTAAAATAAAAACTTCATTTAAGTTCACTGCTGGCAGATATTGTCTGTTGACCTCTTCCTCATTTCTACCAAATGCCTTTTTAGAAAACCTAATATCACTGTTGATCACCATTTTAATCTCAAATGTGCTGCTTTCCAGGATCAAATGGGAAAATAACATGCATGAGCAAGCATTTGTTATGGGAACATCTAAAAGTTTTACAAATCCTCAAAGACATAAACAAAGTAACCCAATGGACTTCTGCAGAATCAACAGTGAATCACAAACCAGAGAGCAGAAATAGTAATTCTGGTGCAGTGCAGATAAAATCGAGATCTGGGGAATCTGTAACAAGACAGCCATGTTGTTCAAACCGATACCCTGGCTTCTTTCAAGAAGCATCAGGACAGATCCTTGGATCAATGAGCTACTAGCAACCACCTAAGCCAGAGGGACTGAATGGCCTCTGTGAGTTATTGCATCTTGGCCAATAACCAAGGTTGGCCCTTGTGGTGCAATGGAAAATGGGTTCTGATGTCCAGGTCAATAAAGCTTGCTTTCCTATGCAGCATACAAACCACCATCTTCCTTGCAACATGTGTAATTCAGCCTATTTTGTAAACCATGTATATGCTTGTTATGGTTTCAGCACAAGTGTAGGATAGATATATATGTACTCGACAACTTACATTCCATGCCTTTGGTAGATAGGTGTGGAAGTATATACGTCACAAGTTAAATTTTCTTTTACATAAAGATACGAAATTTGCTAAGGTGTGCCTGCTTTTTCGTCTTTGTTTCACACTGTTGGGTTTAATTTAAATTTTGATAGATGATTATACGTTTATCTTGGCCGTTCATCGAGGCTCCCAAAATTAATTTGGAGGCAGCTGTTCAGTTATTTTGTTCACCCAATAACTAGTAGCTTTAAACTTTTTAATTGTTTAATCTTAATGGGATTAGATGGTTGTTGAAGGCAGGTGGTGGGGTTATATGGACCTGGATTCCAAGCGGCCAGAAATAGCAAAGATGAGAGTCTAATAAAAATATCAAGATGACATCAGTACGTTTGCAGGAGAAAAGCTGGATGATTGTCGTCAAAGAGACATCCGTGGAATAAACCTTCAAGTTATTGTCGTCACCTCGTCGTAATGATGGTTTTATCCTTTACCGAAATGGTAAGAAGTAAACAAAGATAAACTGTTTTTCTAAGTGTTCCAGATTATGTTTTTATGCTTTGACCACATCAAATAATATGTAAACAGGGAAGGTAAATCTATTTGTACTCAAAAGCACATAACACCCATACACC